TTCAAAATCTCACAATAACTTACAAGATTTTCTTGGCCGGCGATTCCCATGCACGAACATGCCAGTTATCTGAGACATTAGCAATTTACGGTTTAAACAAAGAATACTAGATCATGCATGATAACGCAAGATATATGACTCACAAGTAAATAACGGAGTGTTATTTGTATGTGCCTACAGAGTGATTAGGACTTTAATCAATGTAACACACCAATACGAAACTGTCATATTTACAAATAACTATCGACAAAGCGATTCTGTATCGGCATGAAAATTGGAATTTGGGTGAGCGGATGAGTTGAGAGAGGAAATGTGCCAGTGTTCAACTGTATCAACAGCCCACAGCAACATTCAAATCTGTACCAACACCCTACACATCCACGGTCATATAATTGCTCGAGACGCTTCATTTTTTAGTTAGTCTAGAGTTTTTCTTACTTCCATATGCAAGAATTCGTTAAACTACTTTTGTATGTCCTTGTATGTGGCAATAAAATACATGTAAATACGTATGTTTTCATCACGTGTGATCGCAAATATACTTTATCCTGTGAAACATTTTCACATATGTCAAATAAAAACATGTCACAAAGTTGTAGCCTGTCAATCGGTTTTCATCGGTTCTCTTTCTTATTGTGGATGTGGACGTATATGTCGTCCTTTTTTCTTCTCGTTCGTGGTCGTAAAAAGAAAGAGAACCAGTAGGATTGATAGATCGATTATAATTCTTGCATATCGTACATGTACACCCTTTTTTCTTAGCTTTCGCGTCTGACTTGGTTCGTTTCTTTCATCTTACTGTTTATGTAACTAATCTAACATTTTTGCAGTACCTTGAAAAAAAAAATGTTAAAAGTTTCAATGAATTCGAAGCTCTTGAAAGAATTTAGGAAACTTGTTAAAGGATTTCCTAGAATTGCAGGAAATTCTCTACAACTCGAGTAATCATATGACTACTCTTTTTTTAGCATAGATTTGTTTTTTTTAATGTGAAATCAATATAAAATCAGTTATTTTAATACATTTAAGGAAATATAAAATAAATTTGTACAAATCCAAAGAAAAACAACAATTTTAAATCGCTGATTAATAATTTTCCATGATTTTAAAATTCGAGATGCAGTTAAAGTTCTTCTTTCTTTTTCTCATTATTCATTTCATTTAATTATATAATTTAACACTTCATGATTAATATGTTAAAAATTCAACTTTCATCTGAACTTCTGTTTATCGATTGCTTTTATCCGTGAAACATATCGTTATGTCTTGTATTCTATGTTTTATCTACATAGATGAAAGTAAATTAACTTGAAATCGAGAATAATCTTCCATGTAAATATACTCAGAATTCAATAAAAGTTGGATCATATTTTTTTAAAACTAGCAAATTCTCAAACACAATGCTACCAATGAGTGGTAATATATGCAGATTTCCCATAACTTTCATGAAAGCTTAGTATGGATTTGTAACATGATATGCCAATGTTTTCGATAAACTTCAGAAAGTAGCTAATCGAACTTGCCTCTTTCTTAAACGGCATTAATATATCAATACTAGTACTAGATATTTTCTTTTCTTTGAGAAGATAAAACTTGAAATATGATTATTCAATAAAATAATATCGATTTCATCGGTACTGAAATAAAAGAAACACGATAAACATATTTAACGAAGAATGCAACGAAATATCATCGATATAAAGTCTGGTTCACTTGTCATATTAAAAAGTATTCTAAAGTTTATTCTGAACTCACATAACGAGTATTCCAGAACATAAAAATAAAAATAAAGGAATTTTACAAACTAATTCGTTTCCTTACCTTTGAAATATATCTAAGAAAACCTATATGACGTGCATTCTTCAGTTTGACTCTACTGTATATATATATATATATATAGAGAGAGAGAGAGAGAAAGAGATATCAATTCGTGACACTGGGTTACTCATTAATTAGTAATCCTAGAAACAAATTACTCATAAAAAACAAAAGAGAACAATCATTTATTTTATTTTGGATACAATATGTTGTGCAAATGAAAAACTCTGATCAGTCAATTTAGAGAAGCATATTCATCAACTATTGAATTCATACTCAACTGTTACATAGCAACTCCAAGGGCAACATTGTTGTTTTTTCTTGTGTGTTCGATTAGTCATGTTCTTTATTCTCTCCACAAAGAAAAGCGTGCTTGTTTCTTTCTATTTCCTAAGTACATGGTTACATCTATTATAAAGATAATTTTATTTTCGATGATGATAAATACAAAAACAAGCCTATCTAAAAAATGAATGTTAATCAGTCGATGTTTCAAAAATCATGTCTTTTAGTATTTTCGGAATTTTTAATAGGCTAAGACTCATTATTCATCTGAAATCACAATGTAACTATTGAGAATATTTCAGAAAAATATCATGAGATGAAGAGAAGTTTTCAGTAGTGTCAAATCTGAAAGTTAAATTCAATCGTTAAAGTCCTTTTCAGATAGTCAACTATTCAGCTCAAATATTCTAATATTGAGATGCTCATCTATCAATGAAAACATTCACACCACGTCTTTCTCGATGTGGGTACCACATAGACACAGCAATTGTTGAGGGTCTGAAAATCTGAATATCTTAACTGAATAATAGAAAAGTTGAATATGTGAAAAGGACTTCAATAATTGAGTTCAATTTTCAGGTTTGACAATACTGAACAAAACAGAATAGCCAAGCCAAAAAGTATTCCAAAAGAAGCTATTAAATAAATGAAATAAATGATGAATATTGTTCATTTACTATGAAAGTCATTTTCAGTGTGACATATACCAACTCGTACAATATGATAAGCTGATTACAATAGCATAAAAATCTGTTGGTAAAATGTGAAACAAAATGAAGCTGCTGTTGCTAATTACAAGAAGATAGTTTTATTCTGTCTATGTTGTGACATATCTCTTCACCATCATTTTACTGAATCTTTCATAAACACTATAAGGAAATAGTTAATAGATTTCAGCGAGCCGCTATTTTTATATAGTCTGTCATCCTATATCATCAACGTCTGCTATTGTCTATTCTGGTCTCCGACTGAAGCTATGCAGAGTAGCATAGGAGTAAAGGCAAGAGAATTTTTCTCCGTCTAGGTATAGGGAAAGAAAAAACTTATCTTTTATTTCTTTGTCTCTGGCCAGTGTCTGTCACAGCTTGAGGGAGTGGAAGGGAGAGGTTTCTTCTCTATATACTTTAAAACTTCTTTTAGATCGTGTTTCGCTAAAATTGAGAGTTATTCACTATAATCGGATGAATTTGATTTTAGATTTTATCTAAAAATAAATCTGTATGGATGGAGGATTCATTTTCTTTACATGTTGAAAAGTAAAAATACGTGTGTCAATGATGAAGTGTATGTCTTCAAAATGTTACATCAATTCATTATACTCAAACAATTGTCAAATTTAGTGATATTAAAAGACATATATAAATTATCATCAAGATAATCATATTCAGAATTTTTTACTGATTTTCGAATAAAATATTTTCAAATTCTTTAGCTAAACTATAGATAATATGAACCGATACAATGTTTTACAATGAAACATTGAAAAACTGACATGAAATAACTATTTAAATGACGAAACTCTATACGTGCGTTTTTGCTTACCTAATTGAATATTTCTAATCCAAACCGATGTTGATCCAGTTTTAAGAATTTTTTTATAATAAACACTGGCAAAACCAGATGTAAATGAAGCTATTAACACAGCACCAAAACTCATAAGTTGTTGTAACCAAATTGCTTGACTTTGTGCTGTTGAATGTTTATGGATTTCATCTGGTGATGATCATTAGTAAAATAAATATTAAATTTTTTATTTCTCATTTTTTTATCTTACGGTTACAAATGCAACATCAATAGTAAGCATAAATAAAGAAAACCATTGATGTTTTTCCATTATTTTTTTGCGTAGAATTACAGAACATAAAGCTATAGTTAAATTTTTTAATTTATAAGTTATGTGATATGTTGCTGCACTTAAATAAGATAATGCAATAAATAAAAGATTATTTTGAATTGTATATAATCCACTTAGTATAGCTAATTTAGAAGTATCATATGGTTTAGCATAGATTTCTTGTTTAATTACTCGAAATAATTAATCGATTAATCGAACGATCTATTTTGAAATAAAATTAAATATTGGTTTTAAATAATTAATGTTTTTTTACGGACCACTTTCTAACCAAACAAGAACAATACAAATCAATCCTTTTTTTAAATTCAGCACTAACAATAGCCGTTGATGATAAATATCGTTCAGTTTTAATCGTCTTTGAATAATGTAATAGAAGTACAAGACTGGTAGTTTGTATAACAAGTGCTATGTGGCTTATCCATCTGCGATCATCTTTTTTTGACATCTTGGAAGATATAATAAAAAAATTTACAATAGGAATGACTTTTTTTCAAAAGATTATTAGGATAAGCGAAAAGCTTTTTTTATTTTAATGAATACTAACAATGCGAAGTTTGTCAAAAGACAAAATATTGTGTTCGAGTCTTTGATAAGAAATATAAAAGTGATAGTGATGTATCGGGAAAGAATGAATTAGCCTATAACACACATAAATGCATATAGTGAACGTGCTTCTATAAATATAAATACTTTTTTTGTATAATAATAACATTTTTATTTTTGATTAAAAACAAAAATAGGTATGAATTGTTTGTAAGAGTTCAAACGTACGAAAAGTGTTGTCATTGAGTATGTCGAAAGCAGCAAGGCATTAAATAGTCGAATAACTTTTTCTTCTTCCTATCTTTGCTGACATTTTTTCTGTACTGAAATCAGAAGAAAATTCTTGTCTATTTAAAAAATGAAATATTATTGATCACTGATATCGATCTCTTGCTTTCTTTTTAGATGAAAAATCAAACAATCTTTAAAAAGATTTCGACTCAACAAGCATCAATCTACTAAAACATGGGAAATTAGCATTGTTCATAAAGTCATTTATCTAAAATGTAGCTTTATAACTTTCATGTACAACACATTCTGTATCGTTTAAATATGTTTTAAGAATATGACGACATCCATTAGTACCTATTGTATCAAGTATTTCAGTAGTTTTATGTTGAACCATATAATTTTTATTGAGCATCGACAATTGTTGAGTTAATGCTGAAATTGAACATATTGCTTGAAGTTGACCATGTACAAAAGTTATTACATGATGGAATAAAACATTTGATGATTGAATAGCTAGAAAATTTATTTTTGTATTGGCGAAAAAACAACATCAAAGTTTCCATTTAAGTTGTGATATATATGTATTCATTTATACTTTGTTAGCTTATCTTCACAAATAGTAAGTACAACTTTATTGGTACCTATATCACACAAAGCAAACATAACATGATAATGTTCAAAAAATGATTGGTTTTCATCTAATAAATTTCTAAAATTTATCAGTATTCATGAAAGGTAATGATGAGAATCCGCAAGAAACAAAGTTTATCGCGTTTTTCTCTATCGCTCTTCTAGCTACGATGATTTTCATAAAATTGATTACCTTCAGGGCGTGCGTATAAGTGAAGGGAAGATCCATGCTCAAACTCGCAATGGAGTAAATTTTATGAAAGTCGTAGCAACTTGAAAAGTCATAAAGAAAATCGGCATAAATTTTATTTCTTGTAAACCTATGTTAAACAATAAAGTGCACTTTGACATGTTTCAGAAATCTGAAATAAAGACTTTTATCAAAATTCTTTCCAGAATACATAAAAAAAAGATTTTGCTCAATATACTTTAGCTCATGAATTTTACCTATGCACTGTAAGAGCATCAATAACATCTTGATTTTCAAAATATATCATTACACTTAATCCATCTTCTCATAAAAGAAAAGTTAAAATAATAGATCTCTATCATTTTATTTTTTTTTATCCACTTTATGTCGAACTATTTTGTCTAGATTTGTATCATTCTAAACTTGAATAAGTTTAGCCTTGTATGTAATTATTTATTTACCCATGACAGAAAGAACCGTCACCTTTAAATAATGTTGATGCATGATTAAACGCACGACAGATAGTATTAACTATCTCTACAGTATTTTCTTCATATTAGTAGACATTTTAAATTCATTCATTTTTTGTTTAAATTCTTCATGAGTCTATTAAAATAAAAAGAAATCTAAAGTTTCTTAGTAACATATTAGAAAAAAAAACTGTATCATATCACCAAATTGTTTCATTCCTAGTGTATAATTATGAGTACCCAAATCAGCTTCAAGATTATGTTGATGAATTTTAGCTAGATTATCTTTCCGAATGATTCGACAATAAAATATATATGTCAAAACATGATCTATCAGAAAAACAAATGTTCTAATTTACCGATTAGTTTCTTCATCCATTGAAGTATATGGTTTTTTTTATCAATACGTTTAAATAAAGACCATTGATGGTTGAGTTGTTCATCGAACATAGGTGCGCAATAAGCACTTATGAAAAGAACATATATAAAAACGAATGTTTGCATCATTTTATGTACTCTTATCGTACTTATTCGTCAATGAAATATTTGTCTACGTTTATAGATTACTTTTCCATAGTCATCATACCTTGCAAAAATAACGTCCTATTTATCGTAATACTCAAGAAAAGAAAAAACAATAAAATTATGATATCATTGAATTTCTACATCACCGTTTTGACAAAGCATTCTCAAATATTTGGTACATGAAACTTTTGAAATATTCATTGGTCGATATACTTATTGTGACGAAACAAGTTCGTTCACAGCAATCAAAAAGATAAATGAGTATGCATATAGTAAAAATTATGGGCTAGAATAATTACGAGAGAAAGAAATATGAAATTATAGAAAGCTTATGTAAACTGGTTAATCTGACTAATATTTCTAATAAAATATCTAAAAATAATATGTATAGAGACGCATTAAGTTTTTCAGTATTATTTTTACTATATTCAATAAAATTTAGCTACAATATTATACAAATAAAAATAATCAACATGGACAAAAAATTATCATGAGTGACAGTAAGAATTTTTTGGTGCTTATCAAGAATCATCTTGTAATTTATCATTTTGACAAAAAATTGAGTTTATTATTCTTTACTAACTGATAATCGTCAGTGAGTATATGAATGAAAATACATAGATACAAGTGAATGACGAAAAAAATCAAGTGTAACTAACGTATATTCAATGTTGTTGGTATCATTGACGATTAACCTTTTCAGAACGGAATTTTTTTCTATCAAAAATTGGTTCTTTTTATCAGTTTATTGAATCTGACTCAAAATATTCCCATAAAAGCTTGATGCTATTCAAAGAAACAATTTTTTTCGTCTGTTAAGCAAAAAGCCAGTTTCGCTTCCACATCCTATTTCTTTCTTTTTTGTTTTCCATGTTTGCTTGATCGATAATTAGATTTAAAATTTCTTCCTTAAAAAAATCCTAAACACTGAAATTTGCGTGATATCTCTGAGAGAAATTGAATTAAAGCCGCCATCATTAATATAACTTTCGCTCATAGAATCAAGCTCCATTTCATCTTCATTAGAATACTCATCTGAGATCTGAAGTTCATCAAGGGCATCTGCTAATTCATCATAGTCGAAATTGAAGTCACTCTCATCGCTGGCTTCATTGGTAAGTGAATCACGTGAATCGTGATCGACTTCGTCATTTTCGAAGGATTAGGTCGGCCAACTTTCAATTCTAAATAGAACGGACAAATGAAATATAGAAGTAATCTAACTTCGTTTCAAGAGCAGCTTTATATATATACAAGAGTAATAGAGACTAAGAATCTTATCGAACATTGTCGTAAAATAAAATGTCAGAGGAAGAGAGGAAAACTACAACGTCATTGTACAATCACAGAAAGAAAAGCGAATGTCTGAGAAAGATATATACAGCATCAAGAAAAGATATGTACCGTATAGCATGACAATTGGAACACCATGGCCTCTATGTATAGGAAGTTTTAATACTTAAATATAAATGAAATATTTTTCCCACCGGAAAAATAGCTGGTATAATCCTTGTACTACCGTCCTGAAAAAGTTAATTAGAATAAATGATATTGTCGTGAGGAAACAATAAACTCTTCACGAGTTATATCTTATCTTCCTAATATAGTACCAAAGTTAATACAATCTTCAATTTTGACGATTCAATCACATGATCACGTAAAATTAATATCTGTTAGACTTATATATACTGAGTTCGATTAGTAGATATTACATTTCACTCTTTACTAATTTTTCTCCTTATATTTTTTATGAAAATCATTTCATTGGAAGATTTTAAGTTTATGAATGAACATTGAACTCTTACAATCCATCTTGATTAATAAAAGTGATCGTCTTTATTATTATTCTCATGCATAGGTAATTGAAAGTAACCGGTCTTCAACTCGAATTTTGAATAGTAGCGATATTCATTTAGCTTTTCTAATAATCCTTTAGTTATTGGTTGGATAAAGAAATGGGTGTGGTATAGGTGGGTCATTCCACAGCCACTTTTTAATATCATGCTTGAAAACTAACTCTATATATGAAGAACGATTAAAATATGAAAATCATAGAAAAGATATTCACTTTCATGCTCTATATTTGAATTTTTTTGTCTAGAAGCAAAAATAATCTGAACATTTCTCCAATATTTTCATCTATTAAAGAGAGAAAAGTCAAAATGACTTGTGAAATCTTTAAATTGCCACATACGAATTTTCAAAAATATCGTCACAGAGTTTTACTCATGTTCCATAATAATTCTTTTGTATAAAAAAGTCTTTTTTATTGTATTTTAATTTAAAAGAAATAAATCTATATGTTATAATATTAGTCGACATTGTTATCTTTCAATTAATCATGCGTGTGATGCATAAAACATTCTATATTTACTATTATCGTTGCAAATATTTTTTTCTTACACAAATGTTCATTTAGTCGTATTTAACGGGTGGGACATCAAGAACCGACCTCTGTGTATTTTTAAGATTTCTCCTCTATTATCCCTTTGATTAAAACATTCTTTTTTTATCAAAAAATAGCGCTTGAAATTCTCTACAAAACCATATATGACTAGACCCTAAAACTATTTTAGATATATTTGGAAAAACATGTAAAATAAAGACATACAAAAAGCTGTAAAAAGTAACGGGTTGTACGTAATGAAGGGTTACGTTTTGTGTCTAATGTTTTCATTACTTCGCTCTATTAGAAAAACAAAATATACCAAAAGATGCAGCGTGAAAAGCTCTACAATTTACATAAGACGGCCTATTTTATAGTTGCATGTTTTGTTTTGAAAATGGACAAAATTTTGGGCGATCAAATTTCGACTGTGCGAAAATCATTTTTTTTTTGGTACAAGATGAATTCGTTTTTTCTTATTTCATCTTCTTATTACCTGATACGTTTTATTTAAAAATAAAATAACATACACCACAAGATGCAGCGTGAAAAGCTCTACAATTTACAAAGAACAAATAAGAAAAAAGAGAAAATAAGAAAAAACGAATTCATCTTTTACCAGAAAAATATATCATTTTCGCACGGTCGAAATTCGATTGCTCAAAATTTTGTCCATTTTCAAAACAAAACATGCAACTATAAAATAGGCCGTCTTATGTAAATTGTAGAGCTTTTCACGCTGCATCTTTTGGTATATTTTGTTTTTCTAGTAGGGCGAAATAAGTGATGAAAAAAATGGGATGCAAAGCGTGGCCATTCATTATGTTCAACCCGTTACTTTTTACAGCTTTTTGTATGTCTTTATTTTACATGTTTTTCCAAATATATCTAAAATAGTTTTAGGGTCTAGTCATATATGATTTTGTAGAGAATTTCAAGCGCTATCTTTTGATAAAAAAAGAATGTTTTAATCAAAGGGATAATAGAGGAGAAATCTTAAAAATACACAGAGGTCGGTTCTTTATGCCCCACCCGTTATAATCAAATAGTCAATAATAATACTCTGGATAATTATTAAATGGAAATTACAATGATGATGTTGTTTATTATATATCCAAACGGCTACGACGATTGACAGTTTCATCAGAAAATTATTTTCTTAAAACTCTACATGAATTACCTACTATTCGCAAATATTGCCATGATTTTTATCTTGATAGTACTTTTTATGAGATGGATATGTCTTGGAAGAATTATGTTTGTATTATGTATGGTTTTGTTTTACGCCGATACGTCTTATTATTAAACTACTCAAATTTATGCGATCAAATCAAGTGTTTCGATATATCTCTAATATAAGTCAATCAATGGCTCTTGTGGATTTTCGTGATGATACGTGATCGGCATCTTTTAATAGAAAAAGAAAATAGCCATCATTTTTCCTTCAAAGATTAATAAGAAATTCTACAAATTTCAATGTAAACACGAAATACTTGAGTTATGCAAACGTTCACTTAGACGCAAGTCAAAATTTATTCATCAATTTATATCTTTCATATATTTTATAATTTGATATATTCAGGTCATCTTTGTCTTAATCGTGAAGGGTTTTAACTTACGTTCATATCGTGAGATATCCGATGCAATTCTTCAAGAAAAAATTCTCAACGTTTTACCATGGTCGAAAATTTGTTCTTATCAACATTTATCAAAAGAACCATTTGTTCGTCGTCTTCTTCTTACAACTGTCTCAAATAATCTTTATCAAATAGTAACAAGAGCTCATGTATATGTTCCACAAGCACGTTATATGTTTGGAACTGTCGATGAATATAAAGTACTCAAAGAAGGACAAGTTTTTATTCAAATTACTAATGAAGATGAAACTAAAACTGTTTTGGAAGGACCTATTGCTATTACTAAAAATCCATGTCATCATCCAGAAGATCTATTTGTTCTGAAAGCTGTCAATAATATTTATCTTCATCATCTCTATGATGTTCTAGTCTTTCCTCAACAAGGTTCTCGACCACATGCAAGTGAAATATTAGGATCGGATCTTGATGGTGATGAGTATAGTGTCATTTGGGATTTTGAACTCATACTTACGTTATTGAATCCAATTCCATATAATTATGACTCTGAACCCAGGCATATGCCTGATGCTGAACTCAGAATGAGTTCGAAAGCTCGCACTTCTATTGTATTTACTTGTTAGCTAATATAAAATAAATGATTTTCATAGCAGTTCTTTACTTCTTATACTCAAAATTACAACTCACTGCTTCAACCAATAGATTTACAATTCGTTTTTTTACATGAATTTCCTAATAAAAAAAAATGAAATTTTTCTTGATCAAACTTTTCTTCATAATGGCTTTGACGAAGATGTTGATTCTGCGCGAAATCTTTATAAACAATATCAATATGAAATCTTGGAAATTATTGGATCATATGGATTTTCAAATGAAATCGATCTTTTTTGTTGTATTGATTCACACAATATGAAAGCCAATGAACGTCGTTTTTCAAAATATTCAAAAGAAGTTTCGTGATGATGTCGTTTCATTTGATAAAGCAGCTACTTGTTATTATGTGGCATATACACAGATTCACATGTCAAAGATAAATGTATGTTAAATTTTCCATGGTTATTTGCTTTTCAACTTCTCGCCTACTATCCTAATTTTTCGGAAGATGAAGAAAAAACAAATGATTTAAAAAAAGATACATTCGATTCTGACTCGAATTTATATTATTACCTTAAACAACAATTGTCATCATTAATAAATCTACTTTCAAATGAAAACCAATTCACATTTATGGAACTCTTAGAGATATGCTTTCAGAATGTCTGTGCTACTAATACTGAACAGATGATTCATCATGCCGAAATACTTATTGAACTATTGATCACAACTGAAAAAACTATACATTTAAACTAATACCTACTTATATAGTCGTCTTTAACAAAGCAATTTATTCATTAAGTCCAGTTTTTTACATAATCAATATTTCAGTTGTACATGTCTCTTAATAATCACATACAACTGATATGAATATTATGAAATTTGTACAAAATGGCACAATACAACACAACATCAGTACTCTGGGATTTATTTCATATTGATTCGAAATCTATTTTGGTAAATGATTCAAATCTAGTTCTTTTCTAATGAATACATGTTAATACATTTGATATCGATATATGCATTGTACTGGCTATAAATTATCTCTGAGCCATCATATAACGTCAGTGAATGACAGACTATCGATTTTCAACAATTAGAGACATCGAAGGTTCTTCTTTTTTCAATAACATTCATGGTTCGTATATTGAACGAATTCAAGGTCAAAAGATTTTCTTTTTCTTTCATGAATCTTTCGTAGACTGAACAAAATCTTCATCAATACAAGTTAGAGAATATTTCACTACAGCAATGAAGCTATACGATATTGTCGATATTAAATATTGTTCTATTGGATTCAGATGACTTTATTTTGCTTTAGTACATAATTTAGAAATAATTGTCACTAGTTTTTTTGTTAAGAAGGCGAATTTAATTCAGTTATTCGTATTAAAAGATTTTATTGATGGTGAAATCAATGATAAAGAAAAAAAAT